CAAAAATGTTTTTGTTTATAGCGGCAAAAATAAAAAGTGCACAGGTGACCAAATACCACCAGAAGAAAGCTCTATTTATGTGAACAAAAAAGGACATACATTTTTATGTACCGTATTGCATGACTGCGCAATTGTCAGTTAAACTAGTGCAGCGCTGTATAGCAAAAACATTTTGTAAATTGCAGTATCTATACCATAGTTTGTAACTGCTATAACTTTCACACAAAGCAATCAATATACACTTATTTGGATTTTTTTTACCAAAAACATGTAGCAGAATACATTTTGGCCTACATTTATAACTAACTTTGAGCTTACTATATAGTTTTTATAGCCGAAAGTAAAAAAAAATATCATTTTTCATTCTTCAAAATTTTCGGTCTTTTTTTGTTTATAGCGGAAAAAATAAAAAGGGCACCGGTGATCAAATACCACCAAAAGAAAGCTCTATTTGTGTGCAAAATGGACGTAAATTTAGTTTGGGTACAGCATTGAATGACCACGCAATTATCAGTTGAATTAGTGTAGCATCGAGTAGCAAAAAAGGGCTTGGTCATTAACCTCCTTGGCGGTATTCCCGAGTGTAGCTCGGGGTAACATTTCAGTACCAAGAGCGGTAACCCCGAGCTACACTCGGGAATACCATGCGGCACTGCTCCGGCATTTGTTCTTCACTTACCTTACCCTGCGCTCCCACGATGTGTCCCCTGCAGCGTCCCCAGCCATCTCCTTCGGCCGATGCCGGCATCCGGCTTCTGTGTCCTGTCCCTGTGACGTCGGGACGTACGGGGGACGTACGGGCGCCGCCGCCGCCGGCGGCGGGAAATTTAAAAATTTTAAATAATGTCATTTTTTTTTTTTACATTTTACATAGTAAAACATTGCTGCCTCAACCAATTTCACATACATTTTTTGTCCCTACTGCCTTGTCCTGTGCCCTGCCTGCATTTTGTCTGTTCTTTCTGCCTGGAAACTGAGAAAAGTCCATGGCGTCCAAAAAGCGTCCCTTTAGGTCAAAAGCGGTTTAGATCAGCTAGAGAACAGCGATAGTAAATCAGAACCACTTGCAGAATTGAGTGATAATGATTTGTGGGGAAATTCGTCATCAGACACTGAAAACAATTCTGCGACTTTGCTCAGCGATGTGCGAACATGGCGCTCTATTTCACATTTCAGTGTTTTTGATTTGATTATATTATTGAATTAAATGTATTATTAATATATTATTATTTTTTATGATTATTTATTAAATTATAATTTATGATTTTGTGTTTAAAATTTTATCATCCCCGGGATGTTTACTAGACTCTTGTTCGGACAGATTTCAGTGAGTTATTCCTAAATATTACAGCCTACAATAAAAAAATTACATATTTCCATGCAAAATAATGGTACCGCTTTCAGCACCAAAAATCGGAAATAATCATACCGCCAGGGAGGTTAAAGGGGGTAAATCCTCTGGAGGGCAAGTGGTTAAAGCATTGCCTATGGATAATAACATTTACACTGTCACTGTTGCACGGGCGTGTACAATTTTAAAGTGCGACATGTTTGGTGTCTATTTACTTGGCGTAACATCATCTTGTATATTTAAAAAAAAAATTGGGTTATGCATTATGTTTTATTTGCATTAAAATAAAAAAAGTGTATTTTTTCCCTAAAACATTGTTTTTGAAAAACAGCTACGCAAATACCGTGTGACATAAAAAAATTGCAAAACCCACCAATTTTATTCTCTAGGGCCTCTGCTTTAAAAAAATATATGTTTGGGGGTTCTAAGTAGATTTCTAGCAAAAAAAAATTATTGTTTCCTGTGAACAAAAAGTGACAAAAAAAGCCTGGTTCTTAAGTGGTTAAATGTCATACAGTTAAAGTTTGGATCTGCTTACAGGAGGTCGAAAGCACCAATTAACAGCAGAAGAGCAGCCAGTGCCAACACACCAAATGTGTTTATAGGTTGCAAGTAGAGATGAGCGAATCGAACCAGGCGAAGTGGAATTCGATACGAATTTCAGGAAAAATTCGATTCGCGTCGAATCCGAATATTTGCCTACTTCGGGTGCGCAAATCGGATTTTTCCCGATCAGCCGGCAAAAGTGTCCCTGCAGAGAGCTCCGCTATTTCTGACAGTTCTCTGACAGTTCCTTCACATGTACAGCGGTTGAAACATTGTATCTATTTGTTTCCATTTAGGATACAGATGTTTTTATTCGGAAACAGATGTTTCAACCGCTGTACATGTGAAGGAGCTGTCAGAGAACTGTCAGAAATAGAGGAACTCTGCAGATACACTTTTTGCCGGTTTGGAATTATTCTTATTTTCATCCTACTTCTTCTTCTTCTTCTTCCTCATCCTCATCCTCTTCTTCTTCTTCTGAGGATGAGGATGGAGGGAATGTCACAGAACTGTCAGAAATAGGCTATTTCTGACAGTTCTGTGACATTCACTCCATACAGCGGTTGAAACATTGTATCTATTTGTTTCCATAAATGGAACCATTTATGGAAACAAATAGATACAATGTTTCAACCGCTGTATGGAGGGAATGTCACAGAACTGTCAGAAATAGCGGAGCTCGCAGATACACTTAGCGGAGCTCTGCAGATACACTTTTTGCCGGCTTGGAATTCTTATTTTCATCCTACTTCTTCTTCTTCTTCATCCTCATCCTCAGAAGAAGAAGAGGATGAGGATGAGGATGAAGAGGAAGAAGAAGTAGGAAAAAATAAGAAGAATTCCAAGCCGGCAAAAAGTGTATCTACAGAGCTCCGCTAAGTGTATCTGCAGAGCTCCGCTAAGAAATAGCGGAGCTCTGCAGATACACTTTTTGCCGGCTTGGAATTCTCCTTCTCATTTTCTCATCTTTCTTCTTCTTCTTCTCATCCTTCTCTTCTTCTCATCCTTCTCCTTCTTCTCATCCTTCTCCTTCTTCTCATCCTTCTCCTTCTTCTCATCCTTCTCCTTCTTCTCATCCTTCTTCATCTTCTCCTTCTTCTCTTCTTCTTCTCATCCTTCTTCTTTCATCCTTCTCTTCTCATCATTTCATCCTTCTTCTTCTCATCCTTCTCTCTTCTTCTCATCCTTCTTCTCATCCTCCTTCTCATCCTTCTTCTCATCCTTCCTTCTCATCCTCTCTCCTTCTTCTCATCCTTCTTCTTCTTCTTCCTTCTTCTCATCCTTCTCCTTCTTCATCCTTTCCTTCTTCTCATCTTCTTCTTCTCATCCTTCTCCATCTCCTTCTTCTCATCCTTCTCATCTTCTTCTCTCATCCTTCTCCTTCTTCTCATCTTCTCATCCTTCTCCTTCTTCTCATCCTTCTCCTTCTTCTCATCTTCTCATCCTTCATCCTTCTTCTCATCCTTCTCCTTCTTCTCATCCTTCTCATCCTTCTTCTCATCCTTCTCCTTCTTCTCATCTTCTTCTCATCCTTCTCCTTCTTCTCATCCTTCCTTCTTCTCATCCTTCTTCTTTCATCCTTCTCCTTCTTCTTCTTCTCCTTCTTCTCATCCTTCTCCTTCTCATCCTTCTCTTCTTCTCATCCTTCTCCTTTCTCTTCTCCTTCTTCTCATCCTTCTCCTTCTTCTTCCTTCTCTTCTTCTCCTTCTCTTCTTCTCATCCTTCTCCTTCTCTCATCCTTCTCCTTCTCATCCTTCTTCCTTCTTCCTTCTCCTTCTTCTCATCCTTCTCCTTCTCTTCTTCTCATCCTTCTCCTTCTTCTTCTCATCCTTCCTTCTTCATCCTTCTCCTTCTCCTTCTCTTCTCCTTCTCCTTCTGATCCTTCTCCTTCTTCTCATCCTTCTCCTTCTTCTCATCCTTCTCTTCTTCTTCTCATCCTTCTCTTCTCCATCTTCTCCTTCTCCTCTTCTCTTCTTCTTCTTCATCCTTCTCCTTCTTCTCATCCTTCTCCTTCTCCTTCTTCTCATCCTTCTCCTTCTCCTTCTTTCATCCTTCTCTTCTCCTTCTTCTCATCCTTCTCCTTCCTCATCTCCAAGGGCATTTAAATTAAAGGTACAGTGTTCTGCACTAATTTAAAGGCTCTCTGAAGCCTAGAAACCCTTTTTATAAGTTAACTTCGTAGCGAATTAATTCGCATCGAATCGAATTTCTTCCTGAAATTCGGCGAATCGGCCGAATCGAATTTTTGAATAATTCGCTCATCTCTAGTTGCAAGAGTGCATGCATCATTTTACTCTCCAACTACCTAGTATAACAGTACATATACAGGTGATTCAACTGTGTATTTAGCACTTTGCCAGGCTTTTTGAACACCTGATCATAATCAATATTTAAAATAATATATACCGTATTTTTCGCTCCATAAGACGCACTTTTTTCCCCCCAAAAAAGGGGGGAAAATGTCAGTGCGTCTTATGGAGCGAATATAAAGCGGCCGATCCGGTATTTCTGCCACCACCATGTCAGAATATCGGGCCGGCCGCTCAGCTGTTCTCTCCTGCAGGACCTTACCTGTTCCTCGCTCCAGCGCTGCACAGTCTTCCCGCGCTGGCTTCTGTGACAGCTGGGTGCCCACTGCGCATGTGCTGCGCTTTGTGAATGATCCGGTGTCTTCTGGGACACATGACAGGTCCCAGAAGGCGCCCGGCCATTCACAAAGCGCAGCGCTTCTCGCGCATGCGCAGTGGGCACCCGGCTGTCACAGAAGCCGGCCCGGGAAGAAGAGGGAAGGACAACTCCGCGGAAGTGGGAGCGGGTACCTGTCAAATTCAGGTACCCGCTCCTCCTCCCTCCCCAAAGGTCATCAGTCTCTGGTCATTCCCTGCACTGTCTACAGTCTCTGGTCATTCCCTGCACTGTCTGCAGTCTCTGGTCATTCCCTGCACTGTCTGCAGTCTCTGGTCATTCCCTGCACTGTCTGCAGTCTCTGGTCATTCCCTGCACTGTCTGCAGTCTCTGGTCATTCCCTGCACTGTCTGCAGTCTCTGGTCATTCCCTGCACTGTCTGCAGTCTCTGGTCATTCCCTGCACTGTCTGCAGTCTCTGGTCATTCCCTGCACTGTCTGCAGTCTCTGGTCATTCCCTGCACTGTCTGCAGTCTCTGGTCATTCCCTGCACTGTCTGCAGTCTCTGGTCATTCCCTGCACTGTCCGCAGTCTCTGGTCATCTCCTGCACTGTGTCCGCAGTCTCTGGTCATCTCCTGCACTGTGTCCGCAGTCTCTGGTCATCTCCTGCACTGTGTCCGCAGTCTCTGGTCATCTCCTGCACTGTGTCCGCAGTCTCTGGTCATCTCCTGCACTGTGTCCGCAGTCTCTGGTCATCTCCTGCACTGTGTCCGCAGTCTCTGGTCATCTCCTGCACTGTGTCCGCAGTCTCTGGTCATCTCAATGTCAGGGCAGGGGCCGAGGAACGGACAGGCAGGCCTAACAATGTAACGCACTGGCTGATGACAACCACTACCCACAGACCGAAGTCCCTCAGGGCGCGGAGTCTAAGTCCCAGGCTGCCCTTCACCAGGGCCCCTGATGGTGGGGATGGACTTGACGCAGCCAGGAACCAGGTCGCGGCCCCCGAGACACCTCAGCTGCGGTAATGGCCGCCGCCAATGGCGTGTAGCTGGTGGAAGAGACAAAAGAGTAGTCAGACAAGCCGGGTCAACAACAACAGGACAAAACAGTACAGGACAGCAGACGAGAATCACAGGTCACGAGCCGGGTTCAGCAACAGAGGGTCAGATCAAGGGAGAATACAAAGAATAGTCAAGTCACAAGCCGAATCAGATACCAGGAGAGTCACGAGAGTCAGAACAGATTAATAGCAACACAAAGACACAAGTGCAAAGAGCATGTGCGGGCCACAGGCTTATATGTCATCAGCCACACCCCTCTGGGGGATGGACCACAGAGACCTGAAGGCATAAAAGGATTCCCATCATGCACAGCAGAATCCAAGATGGACGCCAGCACATGGAGTAACATAACCTCAGGGAAAAGGTAGGACCTTGACACTCCTGCACTGTGTCCGCAGTCTCTGGTCATCTCCTGCACTGTGTCCGCAGTCTCTGGTCATCTCCTGCACTGTGTCCGCAGTCTCTGGTCATCTCCTGCACTGTGTCCGCAGTCTCTGGTCATCTCCTGCACTGTGTCCGCAGTCTCTGGTCATCTCCTGCACTGTGTCCGCAGTCTCTGGTCATCTCCTGCACTGTGTCCGCAGTCTCTGGTCATCTCCTGCACTGTGTCCGCAGTCTCTGGTCATCTCCTGCACTGTGTCCGCAGTCTCTGGTCATCTCCTGCACTGTGTTCGCAGTCTCTGTTCATCTCTGTCATCTCCTGCACTGTGTCCGCAGTCTCTGGTCATCTCCTGCACTGTGTCCGTAGTCTCTGGTCATCTCCTGCACTGTGTCCGCAGTCTCTGTTCATCTCCTGTACTGTGTCCGCAGTCTCTGGTCATCTCCTGTACTGTGTCCGCAGTCTCTGGTCATCTCCTGTACTGTGTCCGCAGTCTCTGGTCATCTCCTGTACTGTGTCCGCAGTCTCTGGTCATCTCCTGTACTGTGTCCGCAGTCTCTGGTCATCTCCTGTACTGTGTCCGCAGTCTCTGGTCATCTCCTGTACTATATCCGCAGTCTCTGGTCATCTCCTGTACTATGTCTGCAGTCTCTGGTCCATCTCCTGTATTGTGTCCGCAGTCTCTGGTCATCCCCTGTACTGTGTCTGCAGTCCATTGGTTCAGAATATTTTTTTTTCTTGTTTTTCGCCTCTAAAACCTAGGTGCGTCTTATGGAGCGAAAAATACGGTACTTTTAAAAAGTAAAAGCATTACAAAATTGTCTGGCATCTTATCCACATTATTAGTGTCTATATCTTATACTTACAATGCCATGCTTTTGTAACATATCAATATCTTGGAAAAAAGATTCCTAAAGTAAAAAATAGGAAATATGAATACAAAGTTATGTTTTACAATAGATTTATAATCATGATATATGGCCACATACTATACTAACATTTATTGTATGATATAATTTATAATATACAAGTGCAAGAACAGGTTTATGGCACCTAAAATATGCCCAGATCTTGAACGTAAAATTAAAGAGACAGTCTATTAAAAACAAAGATATTTGAAACTGCATCTAAAACTGTAGCCAAACCATAGGGCATTAAGCTTCATTGTCATTTTATTATTTCTTTTGTTCCTTTTAGCTAAGTACCTCTTCAGTGTGTTTTGCTTGGGGTGAAAGTTTAGAACTCCACCAAATGTATCATAAATATGTGACTCTTACGAAATACCTTTTAGAAATTGGTAGAATAACCAAAACATAAATTACAGACTTAGAGTACATTGCAATAACTAGGCATGCACCGAAAGTTTGGTGGCCGAAACGCTTCGGCCAAAAACACCCCTTTTGGTCGTTGGCCGAAACGAAAAAAAAAAAAACACCAATACAGGTGCAGAAAAAAACACCGCCCCTTGTCGCCACCTGCCCGCCGCTGCTGCCACCAGCTCGGCAGTTCTCAACCATCAATCCCAGCACTGGGCATAGAGATGAGTGAAGGAAAGATGGCCGCCACTCATCTCTATGCCCTTGGAGGAGCGATATCACTTCCCGTTACAGCCATTTTATTATTTCTTTTTAAAGCACTAGATCAACGCTTTTTTTTATCCAGTGCTTTACATTGCCGAGGACAGATGTGGGGTCTTATTGACCCCATATCTCTCCATAAAGAGGACTTGTCACTAATTATTTCTATCACAAGGGATGCATGCATTTCTTGTGATAAGAATAAAAATGATTACACATTTTTTTAAAGGAACAGTGCAAAAAAAAAAAAAAAAAACAAAACAAAATGAAATACATTAAAAAAAAAAGTTTAACGTGCCTCCGTCCTCACACGTAGTGGTGAACGCATACGTAGGCCATGCCCACATATGTAAACGGTGTTCAAACCACACACATGAGGTATCGCCATGAACGTCAGAGCAAGAGCAATAAGTCTAGTACTAGACCTCCTCTCTAACTCTACACTGCTAACCTGCAGAAATTTTTAAAGCATCACCCATGGAGATTATTAAGAATCGCAGTTTCACGCCATCCCACGAGCGTGCGCAATTTTAAAGCATGACATGTTGGGTATCTATTTACTCGCCGTAACATCCTTTTTCATATTCTACAAAACAATTGGAATATATATATATATATATATATATATATATATCTATATATATTTTATCAAAGTGTATTCATTTTTAAAAACTGTGCATTTCGGTTTCGTTCAAGTGCATTTTGAATTTTCGGTTTCGGTACCAGAATTTTCATTTCGGTGCACCACTAGCAATAACTACATCAATTCCTGTGCCAAAACATGTTTAACCAGTTCTTGACCACGCTATAGACAAAAGACAGCTACAGGGGGTCTTCCAGTTCTGTGACGGCATCCATGAACGAGAACACGCTTCCTGCATGCCCCCTGGGGCACGCATCAGAGAGTGTCTGTGACTGCTGTGTCCCTTGGACACAGTGCATCACAGATCAGTGTACAGGGCCAATCACAGAGGCCCTTCACTACGTGAAAGCTGTGTCCAATTACATGCGCTCATAAATGTAAACACTGCGGGTCATCGGGGGTTGACGGCTCTCCTTCCTCAAACAGAGACAGAGTGTGAGGAAAGGAGAGAGATCTGTACCGAGAGAGTGAGTTTAACAAATTTTTCAAGTGTTTTACAGTGCCCATCAGTGTCACACAGTGCCCATCAGTGTCACACAGTGCCCATCATTGCTGCCTCCTCACTGCTGCCGTATCAGTGCCACTTATTAGTGCTGCCTCATCAGTGGAGCCTCCTCAACGCTCATCAGTGCCCCCTAATCAGTGCTGCCTCTTCAATGGAGCCTTATCAGCACCCTACAGTGTAGATAATCAATCCCTGCCTCATCAGTTCCCATCAGTGCTGCCTCTGCAGTGGAGCCTCATCAGCGCCTACCAGTGCACAGCAATAGAGCTCATCAGTGCTGCCTTATCAGTGGCATCCCATCTGTGCAGCCTAATTAGTGCGGTACATTAATGCACATCAGTGCAGCCTCATCAGCTCCCATCAGTGCAAACTCATCAGTGCATATCAGTGCCCATTAGTGTAGCCTGATCAGTGCCCATTAGAGCAGCCTCATCAGTACCCATTAGTGCAGTCTCATCAGCACCCATCTGTGCAGCCTTATCAATGCCGCCCCATCTGTGCAGCCTCATCAATGCAGCCCCATCAGTCCAGTGCATTAGTGCACATCAGTGCAGCCTCATCAGCACCCATTAGTGCAACCTCATCAGTGCCCATTAGTGCAACCTCATCATCGCCCATCAGTGCACCCACATCTGTTCCCGTGTCCCCATCACAGCAGCGTGTCACCACCACCCACAGTCACCACTATGTCTAAAAAATTATTTACCAGTGAGGAGGCATACCAAATTCTAAGTATGACCAATGAGAGCAGCGATTCTGATTATGAGCCAGTGCTAAGTAGTGGGTCTGTAACACAATCAGAGGAGGAGGAACGTGTGCCCACCAAACAAAGGCATTCTGGCGAGGAAATAATATATCGGACTGCGCTGCAGGTGGAAAAAGGAAAGAAAATTATTGTTCAAGAAGAGAAAAAACAGCGCTACCCTGCACCCCAACTATAGTCCTATTCAATTTTTGTACACATTTATCAAAGTGCCATGTGCAAATAGTGCAACAATTTTTTTTCAAACATTGAACAATAGAAAATAAATCACAGAAAACTATACCATATTAAAGTGCCGCATGCATATATAAAAACTTTCAAATAAATATCAAATTCATAAAATGATGATCTGATATGTGATATCTGTGACAAATGTGTGTGTATATATATATATATATATATACATACATACATACCAGTGAAGGAAATAAGTATTTCATCCCCTGCTGATTTTGAATGTTTGCCAACTCACAAAGTAATGATCATCAGTCTAAAAATCGAATGGTAGGTGTATTGTAACACTGAGAGATAGAGTAGCAACAAAAAATTCAAAAGAAATGCATTTCTAACAAATGATGCACTGATTTGCATGTTCTTGAGGGAAATAAGTATTCACAAAACATGACTTAGTACTTGGTGGCAAATTCATTGTTGGCAATCACAGAGGTCAGACGCTTCCTGTAGTTGGCCACCAGGTTTGCGCACATCTCAGGAGGGATTTTGGCCCACTCCTCTTGGCAGATCCTCTCCAAGTCATTAAGGTTTGGTGCCTGACGTTTGGCAACTCAAACTTTCAGCTCCTCCACAGATTTTTAATCTGATTAACCTCCCTGGCGGTATGATTATTTCCGATTTTTGGTGCTGAAAGCGGTACCATTTTTTTGCATGGAAATATGTATTTTTTTTATTGTAGGCTGTAATTTTTAGGAAAAACTCACTGAAATCTGTCCGAACAAGAGTCTAGTAAACATCCCGGGTATGATAAAATTTGAAACACAAAATCATAAATTATAATTTAATAAATAATCATAAAAATAATATAAAAATAATAAAAAATTTAATTCAATAATATAATCAAACCAAAAACACTGAAATGTGAAAGAGCGCCAAGTTCGCACATTGCTGAGCTCAGTCGCAAAATCGTTTTCAGTTTCTGATGACGAATTTCCCCACGAATCATTATCACTCAATTCTGCAAGTGGTTCTGATTTACTATCGCTGTTCTCTAGCTGATCTAAACCGCTTTTGACCTAAAGGGACACTTTTTGGACGCCATGGACATTTCTCAGTTTCCAGGCAGAAAGAATAGACAAAATGCAGGCAGGGCACAAGACAAAGCACTAGGGACAATATGTATGTGAAATGGGTTGAAACAGCAATGTTTTACTGTGTAAAATGTAAAAAAAAAAAAATGACATTTTTTAAAATTTTTAAATTTCCCCGGCGGCGGCGCCCGTACGTCCCGACGTCACAGGGACAGGACACAGAAGCCGGATGCCGGCATCGGCCGGAGGAGATGGCCGGGGACGCTGCAGGGGACACATCGTGGGAACGCAGGGGAAGGTAAGTGAAGAACAGATCCCGGAGCAGTGCCGCAGGGTAAGCCCGAGTGTAGCTCGGGGTTACCGCTTTTGGTACTGAAATGTTACCCCGAGCTACACTCGGGAATACCGCCAGGGAGGTTAAGGTCTGGAGACCTTCCCAGACCTTTGCATGTGTTGCCACTGACACTGATATTACAGGCAAAATGATCAGAGCCGTGTTGTCTCTGGCCGCTACCTCCCAGCCACAAGCTCAACCCCACCGTGCGTGGTAACATTTGGCATGGAGCAGGCTACCACCAGTAGTGCAGTGCAACCACCAGTAGCACAGTGGCCTCCACCAGAAAAGGAGTACCTCTGCAAAAAAAGGCCAGGTGTCATGGGGTTTATCAACCCCAAAGGGTTAGGGCCAATGCCAATCTACCAAATGACCTTGCAAACCCTCTATGGCTTCCCCCTAACTAAGGAGCAGGTAATATCCCCCCTTTTACTGCACAGTCAAGTGTCCAGGCCAACATGGAAAAATTCTGCACCCATTGATTTTTTTAAATTTAGTTTTCACAGATGACTTATTACATTCAATTGTGGACCAGGGCAACACAACACAACTTCCAGTCCACTTTTTATTGGTTCACCCACCCCATCCATCACACACCCATTTACTCATCAGTTATGCAAAGAACACATTATCTTATGATCATGCGATTTCTCCATTTTAGTGATAACATCCAGTGCCCCCCACCCCCGAAATTACCCTGAATATGATAAACTGTATAAAATTTGGCCCCTTCTTACTTTTTTCTCAGAGAAATTTGCCCACTTGTCTATATCTGTGTGGATGAGTCACTTGTCCACTTCACTGGCAAGCTGGCATCAAGCAGTTCATCCCCCACCAAAACTGTACAAGTTAAGCAACAGAGCCATGGGGTACATGTATGCCTTTCGTGTGTACAAAGGAAAGGACACCCAGCTGCAACCCCTCAATGCCCAGACTATATTGGAGGGAAAAATATACAATTTTTATAATTGTTTAAAATTGTTTGGGATCTTGTATTCCCACTCTTCAATAAAGGTTATCATCTGTATAACTATTATACCAGCTTGCCCCTTTTCTGCAATCTTTACCAGAAGCAAACACTAGATTATGGCACCGTGAGAGCTAGTATGAAGGGCTGGTAAATACAAGACTACAAAGAGGGGAGTCTGTGAGTTTGCGGAATGAAGAAGTATTGGCTATGAAGTGGAGGGGCAAGTGAGATGTATATATTTTATTTTCTTTCTTCAATTCACAATGACACCTCTGTGCAAATCGACAGAAGAAATGTCCCAGTCCAAAAGCCCGAATGTGTACATGAGTACAATATGTTCATGGGGGAGTTGATCTTAATGATCATATGATCCAGCCCTATCTTGCATCAAGAAGAACCCACCATTGATACAGCAAAGTCTCAATTTATCTTTTGAATTTGGCTCTTTATAATTCTTATGTGATTTACCATAAATCCACTGAAAGACCTAAAACCTTTATGAAATACCAAGAGGTATTTTCACTGCTTTTGTGAAACCAGAAAGCCCACCAGAAAACATTCGCTCTGATGCTGTGAACAGACTCCACGAACAACATTTTCCCAATAACGTAACTCCCAGAGAAACAGGAATAAAACATCAAAACAAAATGTTGGCTGTGAGTTAGAGGAGACACCATTATTATTGTCCCCAGTGTCCTTCCTAACCATGCCTATGAATAGGAGAATGTTTCTGCCTTTAATATACTTCTCTGCAATATCACAGAAGAATGGTGAACGTAATTCTGAATTCGTTCCTTTTCACATTTGAGCATTACCACAGGTAATCTTTTGTTTACCCTTTGCTCAGCTGACTGTGGTAATTTTGTGGGTGTTTCCACTGTGCTGGTGCTCCAAGGCCTTCAAAAATGTTATATGTAGTCAGGAAAATAGATGTGTAATTTATGATCCTTTTATGCCCCTAGAACGCCTGATGGTCCTACTTGGATGTTGGACCCCTCTATGTGGGCAAGCTGTGGAAAAGTCTCACACATGTGGTATCGCCACATTCAGGAGGAGTATCAGAATGTATTTTGGGATGTAATTCTTGGTATGCACATGATGTGTGTTAGAAATATGTTATAAAATGACAACTTTGTGTGAATAAAATGTTTTATTTTTCTTTCCACGTTTTCCATAAACCTTTGGAAAAAAATGACATGTTCAAAATACTCATTATGCCTCATAGAATATATGTTGGGGTGTTTGCTTTGCAAAATGGGTTCATTTTGTGGGTAATTCCAATGTCCTGATGCTCTGGGGCCTTGAAAATTGTGATATGCTGTCAGAAAATTAGATAATTTATTCCCCTAGAATGGCTGGAGGTGCTAACTGGATGTTGGACCTCTCTATGTGGCTAGGCTGTGAAACGTTGTCACGCATGTAGTAACCCTATACTGAGGAGAAGTAGCAGAATGTGTTTTGGGGTGTACTGCAAGTTTGCCTATGCAGTGTGTGAGAAAACCTTGATAATATGACAATTTTGTGTGAAAAAAATTATTTCATTTTCCAAAAAATTACAACTTTAAAAACTCACCATATCTCTTACTAAATACCTTGGACGATCTACTTTTCAAAAGGTGCCATTTGGGGGATATTAGCACTTTCCTGGCATATTAAGGTCTCAAGAAATGAGGCACTCAGTACATCAGGATTCATCAATTTTCAATGATACGCAACATAGCTTGTAGACTCTATAAATTTCACAGACTATATAATATACACTTATTTGGGTTACTTTTCTCCAAAAAATGTATCAATCTTAATGTTGGCCTAAATGTATGAATATAAATTAGTTATTTGCTAAATTTTATGCTAAAAACTAAAAAAAAAAGTTATGGGTTTTTTTTCAAAATGTTCGCTTTTTACTTCCATTGAAAAACATTTAAATAAAAATCTATTTGTGTGAAAAAAATGATTTAACCACTAGCCTACAGGGCACTTATACCCCCTTCCTGCCAAGGCCAATTTCCAGCTTTCAGCGCTGTCACACTTTGAATGACAATTGCGCGGGTCAAACAACACTGTACCCATATGAAATTTTTATAATTTTTTTGTGACAGATACAGCTTTATTTTTGTGGTATTTAATCACCTCTGGTTTTTTTATTTTTTTCTTAAACAAAACCAAAAACCCCAGAAAATTTAGAATTTTTTTCTTGATTTTTCTCCTTCACTGATGTGCGCTAATGAGGTTGCACTGATGGGCACTGATAGGCTGCACTGATAGGTGGCACTGATGAGGGGGCACTGGTAGGTGGCACTGATGGGCATTGACAGGTATCACTGATGGGCACTGAAAGGCAGCACTGATATATGGCACTGATTGAAACTAATAGGCGGCACTGACTGGCACTGTTAGACGGCACTGACTAGCACTGTTAGGCGGCACTGATGCACACTGATAGGCAGCACTGACTGGCACTGATAGGTGGCACTGATTGGCATTGATAGGTGGCACTGATGGGTGACACTGAAAGGCAGCTCAGATGGGCACTGATATGTGGCATTGATGTGCACTGGTAGGCACTGACATGTGGCACTGATGTGGCACTGGCATGAGGCACTGATGGACACTGACAGGTGGCACTGCTGGGGCTACACTGATCATCAGGGCACACTGATCATCAATGCCCTGATGATCAGTGTACATGTCCCCTTCGCGGAAAGCCGATTACCAGCTCTCCTCTAGAGCTGTCAGCGTGACAGCTCGAGAGGAGAGAAATGCCGATAACCGGCATTTCCCTGTTTACATGTGATCAACTGTGATTGGACACAGCTGATCAAATGACCGAGCCCACATCTTTCCGTGATCTGTGATCCGCTGTGTCCGAGGGACACAGCGCACCGCCGATCGCCGTGCGCTCCCTGAGCAGCGCATGCGCAGTGAGAATGGGAGGACATCATATGACATCCTCCCAGAACAAGTGAACCACCTTGCGCCCATCATATTACTATATGGCGGGCGGAAGGTGGTTAAACAATTTGGGTACAGTGTAGCATGTCTGCGTAATTGTCAATCAAAGTGTAAGAGCATGAAAAGCTGAAAATTGGTCTGGGCAGGAAAGGGGTAAAAGTCCCCAGTATTGAAATGGTTAAAGTTCATCTTTGGATAACGTGGGAAAGGTTAAAAATGTCAATTTTAATTCATTTTTTTCCTGTCTGTGTGCCACTGGGGACATTTCACTTCCCACCCCAAAAAATGTTATACAGAATCAGTGAAAATCTCCTATATGTGGAAAATTAAATCGCCCTCTTAAACAGCTGTCAGTAGTAAACAGGCATCTTCTTTGCAAAATTTTCCCTCATGGTTCAAATGACAAGCATAACAAAGCCTCAACGCCGCCTTATCATGGTGAAGAATCAGGAAACCTTGCAGGAAAGCCAGTATCCAGACTTTAAGAGCTGAAGTAAAGGCAGATAAATAGATAACTTGCGCACAAAGTCAAGGAATGAGAAGCGACAGGTCACTAAAAAAGAACAACAAAAGCTGAAATCTGCCCTTGATACTGAAAGCCACACACCTCTCCATACCAGTGTCGGGGATGAAACTTGTGAGCCTTATCCAGGTGGCAAAAAAAATCCTTCTATGTACAATGGTACACCTTCCTGGAGGTTGAGTTCCTTGCCTGAGAAGGATCTCTATGAACACCACTGGGTAAAGGGTCACACTCTGCTGGATTCAGCTGCAGATGGATAAGAAAGTCATCACTGGAAATGTGTGCAGTGGAGAGGGTAGAAACAAACTTCTGCCCAGGGACAAGATCAGGTCCACTTCTTCGTGTGAGCAGCATGGCTTCTTGTCCCTCCTTGATGGTTGATGTATGCCACAGCCATGGCATTGTCTAACTGCACCCTGATGAGAGATCCAAAAGGCAGCTAGATAGATCAGTGTAGGAGACACAGCCAAATCATCCAAAGTTCCTGGATGTTGATCATCAACTTCTGCTCCTCTGACAAACACTTCACAATGAACCCTAAAGGTTTCTAGAACACCTCCCCAGCCCAACAAGCTGACATGCTGTGTCAAAATCCTTCAAAGTAACAAGAAGAAAAGATTTTCCAGGATCTGCATGGAAATCTCATCATTCAGAGCCGGTCTGGTTTAGGAAAAGACCTGCATTAGCAGATCCAGTTTAATGGGTAAGATCAGATGCGAATTAGCAGATCCAGTTAATGATTGTAAAGAATACTGAGCTTGTAAAGACCTGACGTGAAACTAGATATACAAGACCACTTTGAAGACAGCTACCATCTTCTCCAGTACACTTACACAGACACAAATTAAGGGACTTACCAGCGAACTAGGAAACTACCTGAGAGTAGTACAGGCATTTCTCCTGTGGAAGCAGCATGATTTTCCCTATGCCATATCTAGAACTAAGACTAAATACTCCAAATGTTGTGTCAGAAGCAGAACCGACTTCTAAAAATTCAGCACCCAAACAAACCTTTCCAGGTACCTGCACTGTCACTTGGACATTTCATGCCAAGGTCTGAGCTGTTTGCTTCCTGATATGCAGGTTGTCCCAAGTACCTTACACAATGGGAATACGCTGAGCGCTCAACATCCCTAGAACTGTCAAGACTTTGGTAAATACTTAGGAAGGCATCGAAAGGCATCGAAAATGGGACAGACCAGCGAAAACAACAAGACCTTTGGTAAATACTCTAGGATGGCATCGAAAGACAGACCTGAGAAAAACAACACACTGGTGGTGGCAGTTCTATGGGATGTGCAATTAGGCATCCTTGATATCAACTGATGCCAGGAAGTCCTCTGGTGAAGCAAAGGAATCAAAAACTAGATAGAGGTCATTCTAAAATTGTTGACTTGTAGAGTGTCCGCAATAGGCCAGATTTCTTGGTTTGGCTTGGGAACCGTAAACTGGTTGGAGTAGAATCTGTGAGAACCTTCCCGTCTGACAAAATTTGATCCCCTAAGACAAACCCCTCTATTTTGTGGATCTGAAAAGACCTTTGAACGCAGGAAGCACAGAAGGGGAAACAGGAAGTCCAGAGGTTACAAGCTGGAGTTATGCTGAGTCCAGCTATGAAGAGGACTTTCTTGTGGATCCGGGGGACTTGGATTTCAGTTCTAGTTAAGGAACTGGTATGTAGGGTCTTGCTTGGAGCCCAAGGCCTGATGAATGCAAAGCAAAAAGACTTGGAGCACCAAGGCCTGAGATGAATGCAAAAGCAATTCTTTTTGGATTCCTAAGCAGCAGCACTGGACTCTTAATTAAACAGAATGTTGTACACCACTAAACCACTAAAAAAACGAATTGTGCCGCAGCTTCTGTTATAGTATCCCCCTAATGATACTCTATACCAAATGTTTACAATATGGAGTAACAGCACTCTTACATAAAATACACCAAATAAGTTAAAAGCATGTTCTTAGCCCTAAAAAAAGGCAGCCAAGATTGACAGGTCAGAAACAAGTTCTAGATGCTTTATAATAGGGAGTAACAGCACTACTACATAAAATACACCAAATAGGTAAAAAAGATGCATATAAATATACCAAATCAGTGTGAACTGATCAATCAATAAACATGCAATCCTTTGTGCATACCAATCTGTGCTCTATCATAAAATCAATAGTGCTCTTATAATAAATACGGTTTCAGTCTCTCAGTAAATTAGTTCATATGTAACAGTCCCCGTGTACACAGTGCCAAGCAATCAAACTGTGTGCCAAAAATCTGTGCCTAAGGTGCCTTCCCCCCACCAGGATGGAGAACTCACCAACTAATAGTGATCCCTTAATTATAAGAAGGTCAAAATAGCAATTTTTCATGAATACCCCTCTTAGTGCATAGGGCTTGCCTCTTCCAAGTGGATGAGTTCTTCTTATCCTGGTCTCCTTAGCCTGGAATGTACTGGCCCCCAGAAATATCTCTCTCCTCTCCACCAGGATCAATATGCAAGAAAGACACAGACCAAACAAGGAATCTCATTGCTCAAAACCATTTATTAAAATCCCATAAAAAAAAATTGTACACTCACAATGCCAGTGCCTGTCATCCAGCACTCAATGTCTTGTGACTAGTCCTCTGCTGCTCCGTCTGTTCTCTATGGAGCCAGCTTGCGTTCCACTTCGAGCAGATGTGACACCGCCAGTAGGACTCCACTCCAACGTGTTTCATCTTTTCTGGATGTCTTCAGGAAGCAATACCCCACTGGTTCACTACTCTCGATAAACACTCTCTACTCAACAGCTGACTTGCTGGCTGCTAAGTAATCGCTTAACAAGTCAAGGTGGCACTTCCCAAATTAAGCACAATGGTGACAATCTTCCCTTTTGTAAACTGCTTCATGATGAACACTTTGAGGTTATATACATGTAGAGTCATTGAAACTCATAGGGACTTGTTAAGCGATTAATTTGATGCCGTAGGGAGGATTTAGTGACAGCATAGATTGGTATGCACAGAGGATTGCATGTTTATTGATTGATCAGTTCACACTGATTTGGTATATTTATATGCATCTTTTTTACCTATTTGGTGTATTTTATGTAGTAGTGCTGTTACTCCCTATTATAAGCATCTAGAACTTGTTTCTGACCTGTCAATCTGGCTGCCTTCTTTAGGGCTAAGAACATGCTTTTAACTTATTTGGTGTATTTTATGTAAGAGTGCTGTTACTCCATATTGTAAACATTTGGTATAGAGTATCATTGATTGTGAGTTCACATTGATTTGGTATAATTTGCACCTTTTTTTACTTATTTGATATATTTTATATAGAAGCACTATTACGCCATATATTATAAACATCTAGAACTGGCTTTTGACCTGTCAATTTTGCTGCCTTCTTTAGGGTTAAGAGCATGACTTTACCCTTAGTCACCTTCTGGATGAAAGCATCCAAGGATAGTCTAAACAAGTGCTCACCCTCACAGGGGATCACCTCATGTTGCTTCTTACAGAGGAGTTCTGCCAACCAGCTTCTGAGCCTTTGGATCCTCCTCATATGGATAGAAATGGTGCCCAACCTTGAAAGATGCAATATGGAGTCTTCCAAGGCATCTACTGAGATACTCAAATCTCTCTGAAAATCACCCAGGAACTGCAAAATGACAGGATCCCCTGGGATCTGTTTCTCTGGAGCAAAGCATGCACTTTGCCCAAACTCTGAGTTCCACTATAGCCATTGCCAGTTGCAGAACCACACTCACCAGAGAGGAGGCTGCCTTAAAGCTGAACTCAAGGAATTCACCCAATCTTTAAAATGTGCTGGCATACTATGAGTTAGTCCAACAAGGTGCATGCCACCTCATGAATGTATCTAATTTACATCTGACAGTTTTACATTGCTTCAGGAGTTCACTATCAGTACACTCCCAAAGTTCTGACAGGAGACTGCTTCCACCTGAAAGACAGGAATCTGCCTGACAGTTTTAGCCAATTCCAGTGGCTGCAGCCACCAGATTGTGTATAAAAAACCCCTGCTGTCAGGTCCGTACGACATATGGACCTGGCAGGAAAAGGGTTGAAATTAAATAGTCACTCTCATTTAAAACAAGTAGCCAAAAGATAAAGTAGGACAAACAGCATTTTCTTCAAAGCAGCAAAAGGTAGGAATCTGTAACAAAGTTTGTTAAAATCCTTGCAATGTACATTGATCACCCACAGGGGAACATTTTTTTTTGTTGGGAATGCAACAGCATGTACTATAATGTACTATATACAGTATTCTGTGGTAATATCACTTGACCAGTAGATGGCACTGTACGCTAAAGGTTACTAGTTGTGTATATCTGAAAACTTGTTGCTTCTTCCTCTTCTCTATCATCTCTTCAGGAAGTAATGAGTCTGTA